CGGCGTAAATGTGTGAATGTTAGTAGCTGAAGCCCAGTTAAGTGATGTCTTTTACCCAACAAAGGTAGTGTTAGGACGAAAACATATTTTCCATACCAGCTCATATATTGTCAGTGAGCCCATGCTTTCGCCACCATTTGCGGTGGCTCCCTGTTAGTCAGTTTATGGCAGGAAATTGCCTTGAAGACAATCACCTGCGAGTCAATACAGTGTGCAAACTAGCCGGCAGCTGTCATTAGCACTGGCATGCATGGTTTATACAAACAAATATGATTATTGGTGGTACGCATGTAACTCCCATGGAGCGTTTCTTTTTTTGGATGATTTCTGGTAAGCACGGTCGCTATCTCCAGACTAGTGTGGGCCCGCAGCGGCCGCCCTTCGTGCTAGGATAATGAGCAGGCGATGCCATATAGTCTGGGCAGCTGATCGTGTCACAAAGTCGCAATGACAGGATCAATACGGGAGGCACCATAAGGGTCAAATGCCGCCCATCATTCCCAAACGCACAGCTAACCTAAAGGGCTAAATTAGTGTATTTATGAACGTGGTTATTCCGACGAAGTGGCCTTATTACCTCGCTGAAAGTATTTGTAAACGTGCTCAAAATGTTATGTATTGCACAACGTCTTGTGCGAGAACGTTACTTTACAAACCATACAGGGCCCTCAAATAAAACATAAATTCGGTCACGGTGGTTGTCGCTTTTGTGCAAGTTGGGCGTTGGGAATCTCGTAATTGCCGTTTGTGTCGATGAGGAACGCGCCGTGCAATCAAGATAATCGATCACGCGCTGTACGATCACGATAGGAGCCTTAATGTTCCCACTTACGTGGATGGAAAACATCAAGCTGGAGAAAACATCGATATGGAGAATATTCAGCGTAAGTTAATGGTGGCTAGCATGAGGGATGCCGCCAAGAGTAAGGCTAAAAGCAAGAGTTAAAACAGAACAGCACAAAACAAACAAAGCAAGCGAAATCGGGACACCTAGTCCACATCACAAACCTGCTTACGCTAGCCCTTCTCGCGAGCCAAGCAAAGACAAATCTCATAAGTCTAGGGCGTATATTGACCAGCACATTTTCGTTACCAGCACTCACTCCAAACGTAAAACAAACAGCAGTCTTACATTTCCAAACCGATCGAGCATCCACGGTAACAAACGGCTCGCCACACGTACCGCTTTTAGGCGGAAACAGTCACGATCTCGCGGTACGGAAATGATGTGATCTTACGTCATTACAATGGCGTAACATTACATGGGATTTTGTGGACTTTGTTGGATTTTGTGAACTGTAGGCGCGCTTGAAAAGTCCAAAAAGCAACACAATACCCGAGGCTTGTTGCTGGGATTAAAGGCATTTCGGCCAGTCATGACTATTGCAGGGCTATGAGATGACGGAGAGCGGATAACGGTGGGGTGGAACGATACGCATGAGGGCTGGGATGAGGGGGTGGGATCCAGGCACGCAGCCAAAGCCTTGGCAGGGTCGAGGGCACAGTGTTGAAAAAGGCCCCGATGGTAATGGCCCCCCCCCACCCCCACAAAAAGAAATGGCCGGACATGAGCCACTTGTCAATGAGAGGCACGGTTTCACTTTATATTAATTACTTTCTATCACTGAAACAGACGCCAAAGCTGCCGCGAGATCAATTGTTTAAATTTTGAACCGATGAACTGAATAGATCGATCGTCAAACAACTGCATGAAATTAATCGCTGGCTCTCCTCATTTCACAATGAGTATCATATTCATTCAAAACCGGTAAAACTCAGACGCCTTGCCAGAATTTTTAATTGGGTTCTGCACAGATATGGAGGACCCGTAGATTGTACGTAAAAACATAGACTGTAGATCAAAATGGGTCAAAAAGTTGCATTGATATGGCCATGAGTGCCTAAAAGTGTTCAGCATTCATTAGAATCGATAAGTGAGAAAAAATGCAACGTAATTTTGAAGGTGCATATCCGGAAATCTCTGCAACCAAAACTCGACGTCCGGCGTTGCATACTCCAAAGGTTGCTCGGCGTCGGTCCTGCGGTCAACACTAAGCGGCGGGCAACGGGCGGACGAAATTATGGCAGTGAAACCTGAAGAGTAAAGGTTGCAGCTGTACTATACGTGATGATGTAACTGCTGATCCGTCCAGAGGATGCCTTCTGAATTTAAAAAGGAAAGCAGATACGCCCCAGCCCCATTATAATCTCTGAATGGCACATATTTAATTTTTCAATTTCTTCTGAATTTAAAAAAGAAAGCAAATACACCCCAGTCCCATTATAATCTCTGAACGGCACAAATCCATTTTGAGACTTTCGGAAGCATTGTTTCACGACGGGCTTTCTCACGCGTGCGGCACCCGCCACCTGGTGTTACTTGCAATGGCCAACACTGTTGGGTTGTACGGAAACTGGAAAAAACGGCCAACTTTATTATTGCTCCTGAAGCCTTTTTTGAGCCTGCGTTTGAGCCGGCGAACGCGCAGGCCCAGAACGTTTAAAGTAATTTGTTTCATTAGCCGATTCTGCAAAATAATGAACGTTCTCGGGCAAACGTGGGTAGGCCTTTTTCGTTTCTTAAGTCACTTCGACCCATTCTGTTTAACACTTAACGCATCACATACCTGTTCGGGCAAAAGGCCTCCTTGAGTGGAACATTAAGGGGCACATTACGGTTTCCAATCAATACCTGAGGGTCATTTCGTTCCAGCGCGGGGTGCCTTCCGGCTACTTTTCTGACACCACAGGGGTGATGTTCCCTGGTCGATCCGGATGCCCCTAGAAGGATGCATCACACCACACTAGTCCCCTCCCTGACGCGGAAGGCCTTCTGATCCGCGCAGTTGGCCCCGGCCGCCGCAGAAACCCTCATTGACGCAACAAGACCCTTAGTCGCAGCAAGTGGTTCAGCAGATGGCACAAAGACTCAAGTGTGGCTTAACGGGGTCATAACTAGAATTGGGTTGGAGGGCCTACCGTTCGGTTCTGGGGCCATGACTGACACAGGGCCTTTCACTGTCTCACTATGAACTCATAAGTTCTCGGGTTTCCTTTTATTGTCAGAGGGCTCCAACCAACCCAGGATGCTCTCCGGCATTCGGGGTTCCCAGTCCCGTCCCTGTTCCAATTCAGCAAGTGTTCCCCTGGCCGACACGAGGTCCTTTTATTGGCACAGGAGGTTCCTTTATTGCCTTTATTGGGACTCTGTTAGGCACTTCGGGCCCCGACGGACACTGGAGCCTCGCATTTTCACGGGGGCCGCAACCAACACAGATCGTGGGCCTGGCCTTGCCCCTGCTTGGGAAATGGGCCCTCAGGCCCAGACCGAAACGGATCTGAATGTTCCGTACTGGTAAGACCTAAGCGACATGGAAGCCTTCGTCGACTCAGGGGGCCCAATTGGCCAAAGGGCTCTCTAGCATTTGAAGGCCCGGCCCCAGGGGCTGGGACCCCTTAATGTGACCAACGGTCAGCCTTTCGGGCCCTTCAGCCTTTCAATCGGGCCCTTCATCTTTGGTCTCGGGAGGCCCCTTCGGCCCTCTCAATCAAACACGGCTCCTGGCGACTCGGGGCCACTTTTCAACACAGGACTCCCTGTTCAGCACTATGCACTGTTGGCCCCTGACGCACACCCTCATTGTTTCAGGGACCCCAATGGATGCACATCGATGGCCCGGCCTTGCTCGTGCTTGAGAAATTGGCCCCCAGTTAGGCAGAACCTCGTTAGGTAACACAGGACTCTGCAAGGCATTGTGCACACAGGGGCCCCGACGAGCATTAATAGCTGGCCCCGGGTGTGCCACTGATTGGGAAGTGGACCGTCAGGTCCATACCAACACGGAGCTGACTATGCGGCAATGGTGGTGTCTGACAGACATATAGGCCCTTATCGAATCAGGGGACCCCTGATCGGCTTAAGGGACCTCTGGCTGGCATAGGAGTGCCCGGCCCTCCGACCAGCCTTTCGGGCTCCTTATCGTCGGTCCCGAAACCCTCTTTCAGGGCCTAAAGAGGTGGGGCACGTACTCCTGTGTCCCCTGCCTGCGCCGCTCGGGGTCTATCCGCCAACTTGGGTCGCACAGGGAGCGTTCTTCGTGGTTTGTGCTCAGCGCTCGGACGTGGCCTCGATGCCGGGGGCACGGCCTGGAAGCACTGGACCTAGCTGCCACTTTTGGGCGATGAGATCAGCGACCGAAACTTCAAATGTAATGCAAGTAATTTTTGCCTTCTTCGAGCAAATTTATATCAACAATGCGCCGCGTTGGAAACTATTCTCAGACGATCTGGACAAAAGAACCCAGCTGACGCCGTGTGAAAGCCCAGCCTGCGTTCCCCTCGAGCCAGGCATGCGTCCTGTTCTGCTGCGCTGGTTTCTTGCCCCCGGTCCAGCCGGGCTCATCCCCATACTACCAGACTTCCACCCAGCTGCTGTACAGCGCCTATACCAGTTGGGGCCAGACAAGGTCCCAACTCGAGCACAGGCCTGCCTGGTCCACGCCGCCATCCTGATACTTGCCCAGTCCGTGCCCAGCTGGTATCGGTACCCACCTGACCTCTGCAGACAGCCCGGCTGTGGCCTTGCCGCGGCCCACCAGCAAAATGTTAATTGGCCATCTGGGGTCATCCTCGGCTTTCTGTCGGCCAGTGCTGACTGGGGACCTACGGTGCTAACAAGGCCTTGTATGCCGATGATTCTTTGATGCATGAGTCACTTGCGGCACCTAGGTTGACCTGCATTGACACAACGCTGCCTAACGGGCGACCACGGTTGTTCTAGATAAGATTAACGTAAAACTTGGTGTTTGGGAGTTAACTTCAATGTGTTTGAATGGTGTGTACAGCTCGATCATGTTCTTTTCTGCCGAACTATGATTGGCTGTATTTGGCAGATGATGTTGTGATTGGCTGTGTGCAGCAAATCTTCTGGCTTACACACGTACCGAGTACATCATAGTCAAGAGCTCAGTAGCCATTTTCCGTGTTCGTTGTGTTTTGCGTGCGGAGCGAACGGGATTACGTCTATAGCGGGTGCTCCCGGGGTAGTGGCGCGTGCGTGTTCCGTGTGTTCAGTGGGGCAGATTTGACCCGAGGCTATCCAGCTGTGGGGGCTCACCGAGCAGCACATATCGGCATCGGTACTTCTGTCTCCTTTCATGCAAGGTATTAACGACTTGGGTGGCTTACAAACTAATTTTGTCACGAACCAGGGCTGGGTAAGGTGGAAAGGTGTTTCTTGATTTCGCCACCAACCAGGCTTGGGAAGGTGTGTCCATGTCAGTGCATCCAACACCAGCTGTAAGTGTTGCATAGTGCTAAATTTGGCCAGTTGGGTGGTCTTGTAAGGGTGGTGGCTGGCAGGATAGCATTACTGGCCATCTGGGTGATAAGGAATGTATGTCCAGCCATTTTAGGATGTAAGTCGATCAGTGGCAGTTTTTCAAAATAAGTGTGAGTGGAGCTAAATTATGCAGAATGACTCAACATGCCCCCAGCATATGTAAACAGACATCTATGTGGATTTAGCCCACTCTCCTCCCGAAGTTAGAGCGGCGTGGGGCCAGCGCGTATTTGAGTGGCCCAGACTGTAAACAACATATGTGATCTGACCACCCAGAAATGCCAGTCTGGATTGTAGTAACTGACATTGCAGAGCATCTATGTTGTAGATTTTAGCACTCAAAGTTCGGGGCATGCTGTTCGCAGTCCACCAATTTTGATGCATAGGCAGTTAATGCTTCTGGGAATTGTTATGTTATTAAGATGATTTAAGGCAGAAATTCCTCTTAACTTTTTCACATAATTAAAAAAAATACTGCAATTTCTCCTGGCTTGAATGCAAAGTACACTGGTTTCTGGTTGCAGTGTATTGATGGTTGCATTGCTGCAGATTTTTTTAAGGTTGGCCCCTAACCTAAAAGAAGACTATGCCCCTCAAATCTGCAATACATTTGTGTTACATGCAAATGATTGGCTTTGGATACCAATATGCCACTTCAATTTTGTCCTTTGCCTGACCATCAGCTTGCAGCGCATTGCCCTACAGGCAAGTGCATGTGGCCAACACATTGATGCATGCATTTTCCAGTCTGTGATCTGCTGTCCAATGCAAACTCTTCAAGTGCCAGCATAGAACATGTGGTGACCAGTCATCACAGGTTCATGTCACCCAGGTGGGCTTTAAGTGGGTCCATTTAGGTTATGTGGGAAAGGGGAGTTGGCAGTAATGCCTTTGCCCAGAAACCATGTACCAAATGCACCAAAATTCATGGAGAGCATAATCTGTTTTTGCCAACTGAATGTTTTTTGCTGTGTTTATAATTTATAGTGACCTAAAATTATTTTGTGGGTTCAGAGGTAATAATGCCATGGACAGGCATAAACTGCTGGTTGTTTCCCTAATCTAGTTACATGCAATTGTGATCACTGGAGGAGATGACAAGATGGGACAAACAAAACAGGCCTTTAGTGGTTCCTGGCCCAAAATTATGGTACGGAATATAGATAAATGCAGTTGTGAGTGATGCCACAAGTGATGCCAACAAAACAGGTCTTTAGTAGTTCCTTGTGCAAAATTATGGTATGGAATATGGATGTAAGCAGTTGTGATTGATGCCATTGGTTATGGTTGAAAACAGGTGCATGTATAGATCTAGGTAGTGACAACTACCAAAATAATGCAAAAACTAATATTTATGACATAATAACACTAAAACCAGGCACTTGTGTCTTGCTTTTAGCCCGGTTAGTGTGCTGGAATTTTGGTACATTTCTGGTGTTGTGCTTGACATACCTTGGCAACACCTGTTCTGCTTGGTAGGTCTGGTCAGTCTTCAGATGTACATTATTTGGGAGCCTGCCATATCTAGCAGACTGGTATGTTGGTGTCTCAGGTGGCAGATTGTCACCCATTTTGCATTGTCCATCCTTGAAATGGACATTCCACCATGGCGGAAGTATGCTGTAGCCCAAAATATTACACACACTGTGAAATCCCAACATTCCATCAGTGTCTCGCCAAAACACTTCCTCCTAAACATGACCAAATTGCTGATGTGAGTAGTATCTACAACATCAGTAGCATTGCAGCTCATTTTAAAGTGTTCTGTTTTATAGTGTACTGATATTGCTTCACTTGTGTGTGACAGGTTCATAGCAGTATTCTAAAGAAGTGGAGATGAGCTTTATGCCTCAGCAGGCCCGCCCAGGTGAGTGTCAACAATTTTTGTAATGTGTTGGAAGTGTCTGTAGAACCACTGTGCAAGTAAAAAAACGTTTGTCATGTCTCTAGATAGCAGCATTTGAGAGCTAGTGCCTCTGCATTTATGTTGTCATATTTCTAGATAGCAGCATTGGAGACCTATTGCATGTGAGTTTGTGTTAAATTGTATGCAGAGCAAAGACCATATACTTGGATCTGTATGCAAGTATCAGTTAGGCAACATGTTTGCATCAGTAGAATGACATTTACACCAATTAGGATCAGACTGATGTGTTTCAGGAACCAATGCTGGATATTGTTGGGCTGTGGTTTGGTCTGCTTGGCTTCCAACACAACTTATAGCTTAGGGCACACATTAAAAGCCAATGCTAATGGATGTTATACATGGGATTTGAATTGTTTGCAGCATCATTTGTAGGCCTTAAAGCTTTGACATCGTCATTACCTTTAACAATGACTAGTCATACCTTTATGTCAAAACAGAGGTACATGAAATGAGCTACTATGTAATGTGATAGATGAGGGTTCCATTCTGATAACGGCTTAAGCCAGATGTCTATGTAATATGTGGATGAGGATTTGTCAGAGACATGGGACTCCTGGCTGTTTCCTCTTGTGCTTTGCATTCAGCCTGGGTTGTGTGTTTGCCCAGGGTATGAGGGCATGCATGTGTGGTGTGTGACAGAGCACGTGGCTGGGCTGCAGGGCGCCAGTCAGCCGAGGGCGGCGGCAGTGAACATGTCAAGATGTGGCAGCAGGGCGGCTACATGGGCGGCGCCGGCGACTCGGGCATCAACTCGGGTGCCACCACCCAGGCGCCGTCGCTCTCCGGCAAGGAGGACGACATGGAGACGGCCGACATGCTGTATGATCCCAACTACGCCGGCTACAGCCAGGGTCAGGTGGACGGTACGTTTGGGTCGCCGCCGGGCCGCTCTCGGCTCGCACTGCCCTGGCGCGCCTGGCGTGCCGTACCGGAGGGCCGCGTGCGCCGCCCGGGCTTCTGAAGTCGTGCCTGCCGTGCCCCCGCCCGTGGATGCAGGCCAGCTAGAACTCGGGCTGCCTGTGTGTGACGGCCGGTGTGTGGATGGGCGGCGGCGGTCCGCTGCCACCACCAGGCCGTGACGCCGCCGCCTCTGACTCCGCAGAGATGAACCAGGCGCTGAGCCAGACGCGCTCGCAGCGCGTGCGCGCCGCCATGTTCCCGGAGACGCTGGACGAGGGTCTGGAGATTCCCAGCACGCAGTTCGAGCGTGGCCAGCCGACGGCCGTGCAGCGGCTGGCCGAGCCCTCCCAGATGCTCCGCCACGCCGTCGTCAACCTCATCAACTACCAGGTGCGCCGGTCCGCTCCGTCGGCGCCGTGGCCGCTGGCTGGACTGGGAGATTCTCTCCATGCGAGCCGGTCCCCAGGAGTTGAGCTGGGTAACTGCTGCGCTTTATCAATGCTTGTCGCGCATCACTGCGGTGCACGGGTTATGGCGTCGTGCAGCCTTCGGGCGTGTTGATGAGTGCGTGACCTGTGCGACGGCGACGGTACGTGGTGGGCCATGTGCGATGCTGAGGCTGCCGCCGGCCGCTGCGTCCACGTGCCGTGTCGGTGCGCCGCTCGGTGGCGACCCCCGGCGCCGGGGGCTGACGTTCGCGCCGCCTCCCCAGGACGACGCCGACCTGGCCACCCGCGCCATCCCCGAGCTCATCAAGCTGCTGAACGACGAGGACCAGGTGGTGGTGTCGCAGGCGGCCATGATGGTGCATCAGCTGAGCAAGAAGGAGGCCTCGCGTCACGCCATCATGAACTCGCCGCAGGTGCGTGCGGGGGACGCGGGCGCCGCGTACCGGCCGGGCGCCGAGGCTCCCGCGCCGGCTCTCCCGGCGTGCCGGCGGTGCAGCGGCTTCCCAGAGGTGGCCGGCTTGGTCGGCTGATGGCCCTAAGTGCAGCCAGTCCACAGCCCACGTGTACGGATCACCATGGACGGGTTATTACTCGTTGGCAGTTCGATGGCCGATGCCGTGCTCTTGCTAGCTGATGTGTGCGTCGTTTGTAACGTGGCTGTCAAATGTGTGAGCGGACTTATGACGTTGAATATGTCTCAAGATGATGAGGCAATTTTGCTTCCAAGATGATGACGGCGGTTTCGTATGGAAACGCGTCTGGTAGATATCACAGATCTTGGCATCTTTTAGTCAAGCTAAATGCCAAACTATGTTTTAGGATCCTTTGACATTTGTTTTTGCTTTGCCTCTCCTCCGGCTACAGGGCTTTAATCAGGTAATGCCTATCATATATGTGCTGGTGCACGAAATATTGGAATGCGATGTCAAAGCACCTTCCGGAACTCAGCACTGAAGTGACCATGGAAGGCATGACTGAAGCAATGCTGTCTTCGCCTTGCACCAGAAATCATGCCGCTCTTGATGCTGATTATTGTTTGTTGTCATATATTATGTGGTTCTTGAGTTATGCAATTAAGTTCCACATGATGGTCGCAGATAGTGATTGCATGATACCTGCTGATAAAAGATGGCTACCAACATTTAGTGGCAATTTTCACATGGCATTTATTCACGGAGAATAACATTTATTCTGAAATGAAGGGTTTAGTTGTATAACAGCCTGTGTGATTGTTGTTTTTAGCATCCTTGTTTTGATCTCTAATGTGTCTTAGCTTGACACTGTTGTCCTGAATGCATTCAAGCTGTCAGCTTGAATGCATTCAGGACATGCACATCGCATGCCAGAAAGCAGTGCACCACGTGTTGGCTGTCTCTTCTAAAACGTGAAAAATACGCCTCGTATTGCCTTGCGCGACGCATCAGATCAATGCACGGAAACATGATGTTCACCTGCGCCTGCTCGAGCATGCACTGTTCACACCACGTGACTGTAGGAGCCGTCCGGGTGGCCGCGTGCCGAAATGTCCGACGTGGCTGGCAGACGCGGCTCACGCCATGGTGCAGACCCGCCGCCAGAGCTCGCGCCGTCCCGCCAAGTTCTGTCCTCAACACTGGGGCGCTTGGCCTTTATGTGCACCGAATCTCTTGTGCGAAGCGTTTTCCCCGTAACTAATACTATCGGCAGCAATCCGGCATTGGACGTTGTCACGCTGGTTACGTGCTAGGGACTAGTTTCGCCTCTAAGACTGGTGACCTGCCTGCACTGGTTGTCATGAGCAGCCGCTCCAGCCTTCCGCGGGTCACTTAGCGCGCGGCCGCGGCGTCCGCTGACCGCCCTGGCCGGCCCGCAGATGGTGGCCGCGCTGGTGCGCGCGCTCTCCAACAGCAACGACCTGGAGACAACACGCGTGGCGGTGGGCGCGCTGCACAACCTCTCGCACCACCGCCAGGGCCTGCTGTCCATCTTCAAGTCCGGCGGCATCCCAGCGCTGGTCAAGCTGCTCAGGTCGGTGAGCGCCACCCAGCCGACCGGCGTCGCCGGAGGGCGGCGGCGCTCGGTGGGAGGCTCGGACCAGCGGGCTGTCCGCGGCGGCCGGGTCGACACGGCGCCCGCTGCGGGCCGCCGCGGCGCCTCGCGAGCTGGTGGGGTCTGGCGAGCCGGCAGGGCCGCGTGGTCTGTGACGGTGGTGGATGTGGCGGCCCGTCGGAGCTGCTTCTGAGGGACGCTGCGTGTGGCGTGCTGCCCGCCGCATGAGTGGTCGTGCCGGGGCGCCGGTGATTGTCACCAGTAAAGACGGGCCGCCGAGCCGCCGCCGAAAGGATGGTGAGGTGGGGGGCAACGACCACCTGCTATGCAAGCAAGAGGCTTCCGTGCTTTCATCCGCACTCTAGTGTAGTCACTGAGGAGCTCTGTCTTGCGCAGCTGCCGTCCGTATGCTCGGCCGACCGTTTAAGCTGGCCTCCTGTCTGTGCCACGCCCCGGCACCCGGCGGCCACGACTGACCGGGCGTACTTTGGCTCTGGGTCCAGCTCGCCGGTGGAGTCGGTGCTGTTCTACGCCATCACGACGCTGCACAACCTGCTGCTGCACCAGGAGGGCTCCAAGACGGCCGTCCGGCTGGCAGGCGGCCTGCAGAAGATGGTGGCGCTCCTGCAGCGGAACAACGTCAAGTTCCTGGCCATCGTCACCGACTGCCTGCAGATCCTGGCCTACGGCAACCAGGAGAGCAAACTGATCATCCTGGCGTCGCAGGGGCCCGTGGAGCTGGTGCGCATCATGCGTACCTTCACGTACGAGAAGCTGCTCTGGACCACCTCGCGCGTACTCAAGGTACGCACGCGCGGCCGGCGGGGCTGGTGTCAACGGCGCACGGATAGCTGCGCACGCACGTCATGCAGCTACGATTAAAGGGACTGATCCATATTTGAAGATTTTGAAGCAGACATCAGATACGATGAAATTTAATTTATTTATATTTATACTGGCATACTTTTAAGTGGAAAACACTGTTCGAGACAACACAATTTTTCTTCTTGGTAGATATGCTTCTCAATATGTCATTGTTTGGTCACGTCACCGTACCTTGCATAACATTAATTGAGAGCCAATGGACGGCCGATATATCTGGAAATCGTGCGCACGAACGCCAGATATGAACGACTAGCCTATTAAATTTGTCTTGGCCTTGATCGCCGCAGCTAAGGAAATGACAGGATTTGAATGACGTTGCAATCGCAGCATGGGCGCCTAGGTGACCTTGAAGGTCTCCCCAAAATAGTATGCACAACTTCCCGAGGGTGTCGCTCAGAATTTAAGGGGGTTTTAGGCCATAAGAAGGGCAGGGCTGTGAACTGTACTGGATGATCTTCAAGATGGCTATCCCAGTCCAAAACCCCACACAAATGTGGATACTCCCGTTCAGTATCAAGCCCTAGGCGGGATCGGAGTCCGCGATACCCGTTCTGGTCTCTTCTTTACATAGATAAGACATTAGAAATAGACGTATTCCTCGACAACACAATTCTTTACATAGATAAGACACTAGAAATAGTCTTATTCCTCGACAACACAATTGATTCCTGCTGGTCTGTTCTTTGGTGTAACTGTGTCTTGTGTGAACTGAATGGCGCATGCCTCGCGCCCCCTGGAGGTCAGCTGTTTGTGTGTAGCGTCGGTGGCCACACGTTCGGAAGAACGTAAAATTGTCACCAGCCGTGAATGCACGGTACTTGGGACCAGTGTAGTCGCGTGGCTCCCGTCCCCGTGGCCGGATCGACTTGAAGAGGCGAACCGATGTCGTGCGGCGAGCGCACCGATGGAACCGGACCCAGCTGACCTGAGTGTGCGCTGTGCCGGCGTCAGGTGCTGTCCGTCTGCTCGTCCAACAAGCCGGCCGTGGTGGAGGCCGGCGGCGTGCAGGCCATGGCCATGCACCTGGGACACCAGTCGCAGCGGCTCGTCCAGAACTGCCTCTGGACGCTGCGCAACCTCTCCGACGCCGCCACCAAAGTGGTCAGTTTCAGCGGCCAGCGGTCGGTCCGCCGCGCGCTCGCGGCCGACTGACGGGGTGTCAGCGGCGCACCGGGCGGGTGCGGCCGGTGGAGACGCTCACGGAGGCGCCGTCGAGCGGCCAGCAGAGCTTACGGAGGTTACGGTGAAGGGAGGGGAGAGATGCGGGAGGGGCTGTCCTTCTGGCGACGCTCGCCGACCGCTGACGGCGGCTCGGATGCGCTGGCCCGGACGCCGTGCCGAGCCTGGTCAGGTCTCCGACTGCCAGCCTAGTGGCGCTACAGGGTAGAGCCGTCGAACTCAGCGGCAAAAGGGATGTTACCAGCTTTGGCAAATGTCTGGATCGGGGTGTCATAACTGATACTTAAATAGGAAGGTGCGGTTGCTGCATTGTTTAAGATTTCCCTGAGTTATTGCGTTTCGTATATTGATGATACCTCGAAACTCGTTTGCACCGGCTGGCTGCGATATGTTTGCACCGGATGGCTGGATGTGGTATGATGAAGTAATGCATTTCATCAAATGCATTCGACCGGGTAGCAGTAAATGGGTTCAGGTTTCAGAATATTCTAACATTTAGTTACTCGCAACTTTTCACTCCTTTCAACAAATTTCACGATGACTGCAGCAGCGATCCTTCGTTCCAACATTGTTGGGCTGCCGGCAGGACGGCCTGGAGGGCATGATCAGCTCCCTGGTGCAGCTGCTGGGCGCCACCGACGTCAACGTCGTCACCTGCTCGGCCGGCATCCTCAGCAACCTGACCTGCAACAACCAGCGCAACAAGGTATGCAGTGCAACAAGGTATACCGCGGCGCGAGGCCGACTTGGAGGTCGTCCAGCGCGGCAGAGCGGGTGTCCCTAGCTGTCCGGACAGCGTCGCCTGAGCAGACACAGCCCGGTCGTGACAGCTGCGTGACGCTCGGCTGCGACCTGATGTTCAGCGCGAGCGTGCCTACGTGGCCTGCCGTGCGGCCCGGAGAGCCTCGGGCAGGCGCACGGATACGTCTCAACATGCAGTGGAGCCGGCTGCGTGGGTTGTAGATAGCGCTTAATGGATGGACTTGGCGAAAATGGGCCAGTTCGCTCCGTTGACGTTCGCAGAGCCCCGCGTATCGCCGGCACCGCCGTGCGACCCCTCCGCTCATCGGTGACCGCGTACGGTCGTGACCCGACCTGACGTGATGACCCTCGCCCCGCCCGGCCAGGTGGTGGCCTGCCAGGTGGGCAGCATCGACGCCCTCATCAGCACCATCTACAGCGCGCGCGACCGCGAGGAGATCACGGAGCCGACGGTGTGCGCGCTGCGTCACCTGACCTCGCGCCACCCGGAGGCCGACATGGCGCAGAACGCCGTCCGGCTCAACAACGGCCTGCCGGTCATCTGCAAGCTGCTGCACCCGCCAAGCCGGTGGCCGCTCATCAAGGCCGTCGTCGGTGGGTGCTGTGCTCGGGCGGAGCGGCCTTTGCTGAAGGCCGGCGGCGGCAGACCGCACGTGATCCGATGAAACGGTTGGCGGGGAGGGGGAGCGGGATGAGTATTTTGGGCACAGTTTGCGGATGTTGCCGTCGTTGGTGCCAGCTGCAGTGGCCATCGATGCCGGCGCGTCCTAAAGGCCTCGATCACCGCCGTCGGTGCGCTCACGCCACGTGGTTTGGGGCTCGTATGGCTACAATGGTTTGATCGGACGAGCGAGCCGACGGCTTCCTCGCCACGTTATGAACGGACTGAACCACCGCCACCGCCGCCGCCGCCGGAGGTCTGACCCAAAGCCCTCCCCGGCCCTCCCGGGCCGCCGTCGTCCCACGCCTCTGCGTCTGACCCGGGACTCTCGGCTCTGTCGGCAGGTCTGATCCGTAACCTGGCGCTGAGTCCGGCCAACCATGGCCCGCTGCGCGAGCAGGGTACCATCGGTCGGCTGGTGCAGCTGCTGGTGCGCGCCTTCCAGGACACGCAGCGCCGCTCCTCGGTGGCCAGCGGCGGCAGCGGCGCCGGCTACACCGACGGCGTGCGCATGGAGGAGATCGTCGAGGGCACCGTCGGCGCGCTGCACATCCTGGCGCGCGAGGCTCACAACCGCGCCGAGCTGCGCTCCCAGTCCGTCATTCCCATCTTCGTGCAGGTGAGCGGCGGCGGCGGGGTGCGGCGCGGCGCCGACGGAGGCCGCGCTGACGGCCGCTGTGATTGGTCTCCGGTGACCTGACCGGCTGCACGGCGGAGGGGGCGTCGGCGCCGCACGCAGCGGCCCGCCTGGTGTGCGGGTGACGTGATGTCTGCATCAGCGCTCCCTGCGCCCGGCTCCCGGGCGACTGGTGGACCCGACCCTCCTGTGTCGGGCGCTGACCGGCGCCCCGCCTTGCCCTCGCCGGCAGCTGCTGTTCAACGAGTTCGACAACATCCAGCGCGTGGCGGCCGGCGTGCTGTGCGAGCTGGCCGCCGACCGGGAGGGTGCCGAGATGATCGAGCGCGAGGGCGCCACCGCGCCGCTCACCGATCTGCTGCACTCGCGCAACGAGGGCGTCGGTGAGCGAACAGACCCCGCTTGGCCCGGGCGCGGCGCGACCGCCACCGAACGCTCGGCGTCGCTCGACGCGGAAGTGGCCGCGGACGCGTGCCTGCCGTTCCGCTGCCGGCGTGGTCCGATGTGCCGCGTGTGCCGATGCTATCGTCGCTCGCCGCGGATTTCGACGTTCGTGTCCCACCTGCCCGCGTCTCTTGGGTGGTGTGTTCGGTCAGTCCGTCCTGCCCCCCTGTCGCCTGACACTCGGTCACGCAGTACCGTCACCTCCGAGCGCCGCCGCCACCGTCCCCCGGAAGACCTCAAGCGCGCCTCCCTTTGCAGCGACGTACGCGGCCGCGGTGTTGTTCCGCATGTCTGAGGACAAGCCGCAGGACTACAAGAAGCGGCTCTCCATGGAGCTGACCAACTCGCTGATCCGCGACGACGGCGGCATGTGGAACGGCGGCGACCTGGGCATGCCGCCCGACCTGCAGGACATGCTGGCGCAGGAGCAGGGCTACGACGGCCTCTACGGCCCCGGCACGCCCAGTGTCCGCTCCGGGCATGGTCCGTACGCTCAGGGTCAGTAGACGGCCGCCGGCACTGAGCTGCAGAGCTCCGGTGCTGCTGCTGTGGGACCTCCGGCGACGCCGGTCGTGCAGCCTCTTAGGTGCGGCTAGGTGCCGCTCCCAGGGATCTGAAGTTTGAGGTGGTGTCGGTGTTCAGGCTGTTGCTGGTGCCGGGATGTCAGGGTGGTGACCGGAGCTTAAAAGGACAGCGAGACGGCTCAATTAAAGGGAGTTTTCCACATTTGTTTGGGGGTTTGCATTGAACTAGCCATCTTGAAGACCTTTCGATGCTGTTCACAATCCTGCCTTTCATTAGACCTAAGCTCTTTCATTTTTGAGTTACTCGCCCGCGAAAATGGGGAAAGGTGTATCGGGTAGAATATTTCAAAGCCACCTTGGCATTCATGATGTCATAATAATGTCATTCAAACGCTGTCACTCTCTCGCTCGTTCACCGGAGTCACTCAAGCGACTTCCGTGAACTGGTGTCGCTTTGGCGCACATTTCGTTTAAGGGAAGTGCTCCACATTTATATGGGGTTTTGAACTGAAATCGCCATCTTGAAGAACTTTCCGTGCTCTTCATAATCATGCCCTTCTTAAGACTTAAACCCCTTTAGTGTCTGAGCTACACGCCCGCGAAAATGGGAAAGTCTATCGCGAAGAGTATTTCAAAGTCGCCTTGGCATTCTTGTGATACTTGAGAAGTCATAATAACGTCATTGAAATCCTACCATTCCACAAGCTATGCGGCGATCAAGGCCAAAAAATATAATGGTCGAAGGGTTCATATCTCGTGTTTGTGAGCGCGATTTCCAGGTATAACAGCCATCAGGTGGCTCTCAGTCAATGTTGTGCAAAGTACGATAACATAACCAAACCATGACCCAGCGAAGAGCATATTTATTGAACAGAGTTGTGCTGTCTGGAGCTGTCTTTTCCACTTAGAAAAGTGTAGCAACAGCTAAAAGTGAGCTCATTTTATCATATCCGATGCTTGCTTTGTTATCTTCACTTGCGAAATACTCCCTTTAAGGATCAGAAAGGTCATCGAAACAAGATTAAGACCCATCATTTTAAACTATTTCTGCTGGTAGAAATAGTTTTAAAAATGTAAAAATTCAAGTCTACGTACCACACTTAGCGACATGTACTGGTGTATCTACTGGTCTTCCTTTGCTATTTAGAACTCTTCAAGTCTTCTTACCGCGCTTGATAAGGTGTATGTCCCGCAATCAGAATTAGTCATTGAAGAGTGGAGACAGGAGAGACGTGAAATAAGGGGTGCAATATGGAGGAATGATTTCCTCCGGATGTTAGTCCTCCATCTAATATTGAAATTATGGGAATCAGCTGTGGCAAGTCCGAACGTCCGACAGCCCTGCTGTCGGCCGTCTGTCTGCCACCCACTGTCTGTCGTGTGTGCTCCGTCTGTCTGCCGTCTGCTGCCGCTGTCTGTGGGCTGTCGTCTGGCGTGTGACGCGGCGCCCCGCCGGCCCCGGCAGGCTATGACCCGGTGCCGGTGGCCTCGATGGAGGGCCTGGAGCTGGGCTCGGCCGGCCCCGGCTCCAACTACGGCCCGCTCGACCCGGTGGGCGTGCCGGCGCCCGGCTCCGGGCCGCCCGACATGGCCTTCGACAACATGGCCGACCTGCCGCCGCAGCCGCCGCGCGACAACAACCAGGTGGGTGGGGGTGGCCGCCGGGCCGGACGCGGCACGGCCGGCACTGTAGGGAAGCCTGGCTGACGGTGGCGGGGTGCGTTAGAAGCCCCGGTGATGACAGGTACGGTCACAAAGACGACAGCTGGTTACGACATTGGCCGACAACGGCCTGCGGTCAGGGGTGGCCGGCTGTCACGTGGACGACTGTCGCACAGGGCGCCCAGTGCTCTCGGACGTCAGGTATGTACGACGGGGGTGCACAGACAGAGGAACATCCGCACGGTTGCGCTTCGTCCGACACGGATATGGCCGGCTGTGACACGGGCATAGGGACAGCACCGACCCATACGTGCTGTGCAGATCAGTGCTGTCCCAGCAAATCGTCATTGGTGCAGCAAATTGGTGCGATAAAGTTTCTTGGGACAGTGACCAGGTGCGACACTTGACTTAGATCGTAAAGCAGCATGACAGTGTACCGGTGTATATAATGGCCGGTTGGGATCGAGCGATGTTCGCGCTTTCTGCAGCGAGGACAACCGGGCCCGGGGTCAGCCACGTATTACCTGGGGCGGCGTCGCCCGCCCGCACCCGGTGACCGGACCACCAGATGCCTGTTCATGATGTGCTGCCGCGAGTGTGGCCGCGCGTCGGCGGAGGGTGGACGTGCCGTACGACGGTGCCGTGACCGCGCGCGCCGGCCGTGCCGCAGGTGGCCGCCTGGTACGACACGGACCTGTAGCGGGCGGCGCCGCGGCCGCTCCGCCCACTCCGGGACGGCAGGCCGCTCCCAGCAACACCTGGCGTCCCGCACGCCATCTGGCGGAAGTCCGCACCGTCTGCCCCGTGACGACGCCGCGAGACGCCGGCAGTACCAGATTCCACTCGATTTCCGCGTTGATTGGTGGTTGGAGGCGTGTAACCCGGTCCGGATGTGGGACGAAGTGTGTGGGCACGGGGAGATTATGCACTGTGCAGCTATTTTTAATGTGGCGTGGAGGGCGGGCAGCCCGGCCGTAGATCATGGAAGCTATCACTGGCTGGCTAGATGCGACGTAATCATTGTATTCCAATACATCTTTTCTATCGCTTACCAGTCGTTTTTTTTGTACGGACGTCGGCTTAGAGTGTGGCCGGCTTCAACACCGTCTTGATTGGTGGGGGTGTCGGCAGCGAGAATAACTCCAGAGGAACAAGCCGATCGGTAAAGCTGGAGAGGGCGCGATAGGATACACCGTCCCTCACGCCCACAGACTAACCACCGGACCGGTACGTGCCACAGCGCTACGTGTGACAAGCGTTTGACTGGTGGGCGTGTTCTGACCCAATTATGCCATAGGCTGACCGCGTTACTTGCTTCGTCGCTCCATTTCCCGGCGTTTGAGTCGAGAGTCGGGACTCGCATTGACACTGTTCGCATACTCGCCATTCCTTTCCACGTCGACTTCAGCGGTATTTACATCCGTCCGAAAGTGTAGCCATGCAAATCTAAGCGCGTGGTGAGAATGAACTGGAAGTTCTGAGAAGCATGCAACTGAGTTCTGGAGGCCGCGGAATGGCCATGCAGCATGCACCCCTTGACACTTAATATCATCACCAACACTCAGAGGCTAGCCAGCGGCGGGCGGGAGTGTGAACTCTCCCAAGTGATCCGATTAACGACTTGTCCAAACACGTGCTGACCAACGTCTGGTCAGCTGACATGCCTCGTGTAAAATGCATGCCGGCGCGCCTGTTCTAATGATGCAGGTAAGTGTAAAAACAGCATTGTCCGAGTCAAATGTCGCGCCGACATTTCCAGCACATTTTAACAGAAAATAGGAATTTGTTGATGAAATTAATGAAAGGGCTCATTATTATCTCGCTGGTAAGGTGTACAAGATGTCTGTACATAGGATCTTTTCGGAATATCCTTTTAATTCCTTTTAAAGTCAACTTCTCTCACAATGAACATGAGCATCAAACGAACGATACAATTTGTCGAAGTCGGTCGTCGCTGGTGTCCTCCAATAAAAGCACAAATGGCCTCTGCATGAGCCCACCAAGTTTTGACCTCCGCTGAACATACAACACAGCACACCCCAGGACAGGTCAAACACGGCCGCTCCGTGGGATGCGATGCAAGAACCAGCCAGACCTACCACCTGGCTAGGGGGACACCCGCATCCGGGACAACCTAAGTCGGCCCGGGACGAGCGCTGTCGCGAGTGACTGGGTATGCACCGCCGGTGTCACAACGCCTCGTCCGGAGGCCAAGCTCCGACTCAGTTCCGGAGGTCAAGGTTGACTCAGAGAAGGAGCCAGAGACTATGACCTCCGACCTTTGAGACGGAGGCGAGCGTGCTCTGCGGGCGTTTCAGGCTCGCCGCTCCGCTACGCTTGTCGACGGAGCGGCGAGCATAGCGGTCTCGTCGAGCTGTGCTTGACGCAGTCTCAGCGGGACCCGCTGCGGGCGCCGTGGCCGGCCCGGAGACGCCAGCCGCCTCATGTACGTGTATTCGCCTCCATCCGGATGAACACTCCACCCATACAAAAATACGAGTGCGATACCCCAGGTCGCGATACGCCGCGGGCGGACGCAGAGCCAGGCCGCCCCGAGCGGCCCTCGACCTCGGCTCGCCGCGGTGCCAGGGTAATGTCACGCAGGTCAGGTATCACCGACGCAGATATGCCGTTCATTGGCGGCCAATGCCCCGTGATGGCCGCCACAGACAGCCGATGGGGGGACGAGGGGCACAGACCCACACCCACGGGCTGCAGCACCGCGGTCGGTCGCTACGGTTGACGGCATTGGCCACAGTAAGACGGGAGAAGGGGAAAGGGCGGGTGTATCCCACTCGCGGCTCCGCCACCAATAGCGTAAGCCCCACACCGTCCGCAACAATAACCAGTCACATTGCCCGAAACCTATCTCGTTAGCGGTGCAGCGCTTTGTACGGATACCGCGGACGTCCGTGGTGATGACCGAAAACTGTCGACTTTAAGTCAGACTTTGTACATCAAAAAAGGACCGCAACCACGACACCATGGAGTCAATTTACAAAGGCCTGGCTAGTTTTGTGAAATCTGCGGCCTGCTACACAGGAGCAGCCATGTTGACAGAGAAAACGAGTGCTATCAACCGTGACTCGTGGTCGAAAGATTCGATACCAGCGTCTGCAATTTCTTGCAATCAATGAAACAAAACCGAACCCTTGTGCGGCACGGAGGGGAAGGGTTTGACGCTGATTTAGTCAGCTTGTAATTCTCTGAACGCTATCTCTGTTGCCACGATTTCATTACGAGACCCGGGCTGACAGCCTTCAAGCATTTTCCTGGCGTGCACGTCTAGATTCCAAACACAACGCATCGACAGGGACGTAAAGCACGGATATCCTCGCTAGGCACGGGCTAAACTAAGAACATGTCATGATTTGGGGCGCAAAGCGGAACAGGAACTGACGCGTTTCCACGTACGTAATTATAACGTAGATTCATGTCTATTTAGAACACCGAGATTTAAGGGAATGCTCCCTCGAAACATCGCACAAAGTGCCCATCCGCAACCACTATGGCAGTGCCCGAACACAGCTCTCGACCCCTAAGGCAACCTCCTCGGTAAAATAGTCTGTTCTCGTCGGGCGCGTCTCTGCCCACGGCTAGTCTAGATACAGCGGGACCGCGGTAGGGCACGGCCCGCTCGGTCGGCGCGGTCAGGTCATCACAGACACTCACAAGGCGACTCCGTGTCTGGCGATCTCGGGCCAACCGTCGGTGCTGGCTACGCATCTGCATCGCGGCCGGCTGCCACCTAGAAGCCCGCGTCTCACACTCATCTAAACGTAGCCCAAAGCAGCGACCACAGTTGATTCAACGCTACCAATAAAATAACATAACACGATAATGGTCATTAAAGCGTGCGTAAAACTCGCGAGATAAATTAATGAACGCAGAAAATACGCCGGCGCATGAACAGCGGATTGGCCGCAGTGGTCCCCGGCGGCGCGGTTCTGGCAGTGGTGAGTGCGCTCCCCTGGAACTCTGGGGAGCGCCGCTGGTGCGTGACGTCTGTCGGTCGCTGGGTGGGCGCAGGGCGGTGCGGCTCGTGCCGGCCACACGGCGACGCCGGCTGCTGCCGTCTCCGGTCCTGCCACACCACCCGGCATCCGGGCAGAGCCCCGGGCTGGCCAGCCGGCCCCCCAGGCTGGCTGTGAGGTGGCGCGGCCAGGCGCGGGCCAGGGTCGAGGCGGGCCCGGCTACACCGAGTCCGGGTCTGGCTCACTGAGATCCACCAGCTCGCGGGAGGGCGGGGTCGGTCGGTCCCTGTCGGCCGTCCAACGGTCACTTCACGCGGACGCCACGACGGCACGACCGCCGCCACAAAAGTCACGCGCTCACGCATCTCCAGCGCGCAGCAGCCGTCTAACACGTGACATCCGGCGACAGATCACGAAATCCTTCTGCATGGCGTGAAACCATGATGTAACACATGTGACGCAACGTGACGACATGACGTAACGACGCGAGCAATGGTCGAGTGGGACCTGAGCAGGAGGGATGCCGTAGTATTTGCCTTTGCAGCTACCACGACTGATCAGTGATTCCCGTCCGGGCTGCTGATGCCTCCGTGCTAAACACGTTGTCATGCTCGGACCAAGTTCGAACGGTGCCCGCTGCCCGGCAGCCGCCACCCACCTGGGAGCGGCGCCGGTGGGCGGGGTGCGGTGCTGCCGGTGCGGGCAGAGGGAGCAGGAAGACCCGTGGACACGAGCCGGGCCCGGCCGGCAGCCGGCCGCTGGCCACACGCCAGGTCAGAGGTCTCGCGCGACACCCCGGCCCGGCCCGGGCCGGCACACAGCACGGAACAGCACAGCACAGCACAGCACAGCACAGCACAGTATGGCAGGCACGGGACAGCACAGCACAACACAGCAGGGCACAGCACGGCACAGAACGGCACAACACAGCAAGGCGCGGCACGACCCCAAAAGTGAGCAGCGGCGGCCCATGTGCCCTAGTAGCCGTGGGTGAAGCTGGTCGCGTGCTGGCTGACACGCGACACGCGCGCATGACGTGACCTGGCGGCCGGCCCCTCTGCCGGTTAGAGCCGTGATGGGTGTCAGTAATGCCCTCTACCGATGTGAATTGCCGTGAGTTGTCCCGGGCATCCCAGTCGTACACATGGACACTGATTAGCTTTCGAAGCGTGCATTACTAAAACGTGAGCAACACCAACAAAGACGGGCATGCACGAAGCTGTTGTCAACTTACCGCTTCCTATATTTCATTATAATCGCAACAATTACGCAGTTGCCGAGTATCAAGACGACCATAATAATGCTTGGAAGAATGGTATCTGAAACGACCAGAATACCAACGTAAAAGGCATTGCTTATCGACCTGGTTGGTTCGTGGAAGCCCTGCTAAGAGCGTGGCTAAAACATTGAAAGCAGAGAGGATACACGATCGTCCTCGCAGGAAGTGAATGTGAATAGAACAGCGTATTTCTATCCACCAATACCAGCATGTATGGACCGCTCGTGTAAGTACCAGTGAAGCGGTAGCCGGTACGCCCCTGAGCTACGCGGCGGGCGGCGGACGGCCTGTGCCTCCACGGAACACGGGTGGCGTCTCGCATCGAAGTCAGGCGTGTGACTGCATGGGATGGCTGGACTCTGGCGGCCGGTTACGGGTGCGAGCCTGGTGGGGACGGCTGAGTGAGAGGCGGCCGCCGCCAGGCTGGTGGCCGGCCTGACCACGCCGCGACCAGTCACTGGATCACCGGCGCGGACCGTCCGCTGGAGCCGGCCGGGACTGGGCTCTCCCAACGGTGGCCGGCCGGGACTGGGCCCTCCCGCCGGTGGCCGGCCGGGACTGGGGCCCTCCCGCCGGCGGCTGGCTGAGACCGGGGCCCCCGCCGGCGGCTGGCTGAGACCGGGGCTCCCGCCGGCGGCTGGCCGAGACTGGGGCCCTTCCACCGGCGGCCGGCCGGGACTGGGGCCCTTCCACCGGTGGCCGGCCGGGACTGGGACCTTCCCGCCGGCGACTGGCCGAGTATCTCACCGACGAACATGCTGCCGCCGCGCTGCAGTACCGGTCGAACCTCCGGCCGCGGCGTCACCAGATTCTGCTCCAGAATGCGACGCACCGTGGCGTTCGCAAACTCCATCAATATCCGGACATCTGCCGTCACAACAGTGACATCAATACCTGGACAACTGCTGCCCGAGCGGCACAGCCGGTGTCCGGACATGGGCTATCCGCGTCGTCAGTTGACGATGCAGTGACATCGGCATCGTCCGAAGCACCGTCGATTTACATAAACTTGCAGCCTGCGGACCATCAATGCGGGAGAAAATGGGGTAGGGGAGGTCTGCTATAAAAAAGAACAGCCTCATCAATGTCCTGACATCCGATAAAAATGAAGAAATGCTAGAAGCATCTCCTACCAGACGAAGAATGCCGTCAATGTGAAGACATCGGTCACAACACGAACAAACTTCAAAAACTTAAATATTTTCTCTGCGTGCAAGAATGTCAGTCTGTCGCGGCACACATTGCTAATGGTCAGAGTCCACGGCAAATGCATGCGCATAACTCTGTTCTGTTTGCCTACATATACATGGACAGATATGCACCGTCCGACGAGCGATCAGCATCCCCAAACTCAACGAGTCAGCAGTATCGATCGCCGGCGTCTGGGCACCTCCCGCCGTGCGCGTGGACGCCGAGCGCGTGGACGCCGAGCGCGTGGACGCCGTGCGTGTGGACGCCGTGCGTGTGGACGCCGGCGGACGTGGCCTCACCAATGCACTGGCGCGGCAGCGAGTCGTTCCAGCCGTGTCCGTCCACGCAGCGCAGCAGCCGGTCCTTCTTCAGCGTGTCGGCGAACACGAAGTTGACACAGCACGAGAAGTGCGCGTGGGTGGCGTTGCGGTGTACACTGTAGCCGTCCCGCGGCGGAGACGGCGACGGACAGCCCACGGCTGGTGGCGGGTCAGACGGGGTCAGCGGCGCACGCGGGGGGGGGGGGCGGCCCGGTCAGAGCGGGGGGTTTGGCAACTCTCTCAGCCATGTTGGGACGTCGCAATGATGGAAGCACACAGGGTGGCTCTCATCTACGCCCGTCATTACGACTGGAGACAGGTATTGCGACGTGGGCTCGAGATTGCCGCGTAGTTCCGCACGCGTCATAGGCAACGGACGCAGAAATTGCGCACAGACAAGGCCCAAGGGCAGACAATCGACGACGAAAAAGACTTCACTATAGCAAAACAATTGTATGACGAACCCGAGTGGTGAGCATGACGAACCCGAGCGGCGAGCATGACGAGCGGAAGCTCCGGGCAGTCAGACCCCAATAGACCACAGTGCCCGCTCGCGGCCGGGCGCCGCGCGGCCGCGAGCGTCCCGCGGGCGGCGCCGCCCGCCTTGTCTCACCGGTGTACTGGACGAGCGTGCCTCTGTGCGGGTACAGCGGCTGACCCTCGCCCCACAGCGTGACGGTGACCTCGGGGCCGCGCGAGGTCAGCACCAGCGGCCGCTCCAGGTCACCGCAGTCGAGCGACAGCAGGCGGCGGCCCTCGGCCACGCGCAGGAAGTCGGTGCAGCCGGCGGTGCCCTGCCGCACCCCTGCCGGCCGCCGGCGCCCGTCAGCACGGCGGCGGCGCGCCCGGCCGGCCGTCACGTGTCACCCGGTCGATAGGGCTGGAAGCGCGGCGCCAGGGCGGGGGGCACTGGACGTGAAACGGCGCCCGCCGCGGCGCAGCGGCGCCGTCGGAGCCTTGCAGCAGGCGTCCAACGACTTAAAGGACACGAGCCCTACTAAATTATACCAAAACACAGGCGCGGGCTCAACCAGTCACAGATTCCAGTTCGCCTATGATTTTGCCTTGATACCCCGTTTGTAGGAATCTCAACTCCCCTTGACGTCACAGAGGGACCCCAGCTCACCTATGACTTTCCAATGGGACACCAGCTGACCTCTGACGTCACAGTGGGGCCTCAGCTCACCACTAACGTCACAATGGGACTCCAGTTCACCCATGACGTCCCAATGGAACGCAGGCCGCCCTCTGACGTCACAGTGGGGCCCCAACTCATCTATGACGTTCCGATGGGAGCCGACAGCCAACCTCTGACGTCACAATGGGACCCCAGCTCACCTCTGACGCTCAGGTCGTGTACCCTGATCCGCAGCCGCTGTCCCTCGTCCACCCGGATGTGCCACGAGCAGTTGAGGTCGCCCGGGTAGTAGTGCGGGTAGCCCGGGTTGCTGAGGTAGCCGTGCTGTGACGTCAGTACCTCGGAGCAGTACCGGGTCACCTCTTCACCTTCCCGGAGACGGCTGTCAGTGGTCGGGCCGGGCAGGCGCCAAGCGACTCACCCGATCACTGCACTGGCCAGACCGGCTTTACTGATTGACCACATCAACGACACACAGCCTGTCTGAGTGGCTAGCTGGGTGAGCGCTTGCGGGGCGCAGATCTAAGCTCCTCTAGCGACGTGCTCCGGTGAAACAACCCCAGGAAGCCCGCCGCAGGAGCCGCTCCAAGCCGCACGGGGCCTGTGCCCGAGAGCCGCCACACCGCTGTCGTCACGCCACCACTAACAGCCACACAAAGCCGCACAATGGCCACAGGTGCGCCGCCAGCCGGCCCTCGCGGCGTTCCGGACCCTCAGACAGACCGCAGAGCGGGCGGCGGCGTCGGCGGGTCTGGCCGGCAGCCGGGTTCGGGTGCGGCCCGGTGCCGTCGGCGCGCCGTCGGGTTTGATCGATAGTGTCGGCACCGTCGCCGGTGGGGGCACGCCACATGGCATGTGATGGCCGCACGTAATACGGGACACGGTGGGGATACCGATGTGGAACGTGAGGAACGGCGGTGGGTCGGCGTGCGGGAAAGGAGGGACGCGGGGACAGGGGAGAGCCGCCCGAGAACAGCCGTGGTGGGACTGGGAAAACGTTTGGCTGGTGTCCCGGTAGAATCAAATAAGATAGGTTCGTCTGGCCAACAGACCAAAGGTGAGACTTGGAAGAAACGTTATCAAACACGGCAGAAATTTCGCGCAACAAGGAGGAAAACTGCCCAGAACGCTAAAAAAAAAACAATCACAATAAAGCTATACTAAAGAGATGGGAACATCAATGACGAAAGTCCAAAAAGTGTAAGTATGCAATAGCTACGGGGTACCAAAGCAGGTACCATAGCACCATAACTTAATGTGTCCCATACTCCTAAACTCCCAAACAAGTGGGCGAAAGTCACCCGAAAGGAAGGGGAAAGTGCGACCGACTACCACATCACCACGTAGTTTCAGCACGTCAGGTCAGCCTAACGCTCCCATCACACCTTAGCTTTAGTGCTTCAGTCCGACCATCCAGCATGTTCCACACAGCCCAGTTCCAAAGCTTGTTCTGCCCGCGTACTGACCTAACCTTACCTTACACACCGCGTTCCCACGACCCAGCCCCGCCCTGCCCGGCGCGACGAGCGTCCCACAGGGTCACGCTCCCGGCGGGGTCGGCCGGCGGGGCCGACCCACCCATCCGGCGTCGGTACTACTCACGGGCGCACGCACGCGGAACGCGCACGTACAGCACGCCGGGTCGCCCAGGCGTTCGGCCTGGGGGCTTCCAGCAGCAGGAAACGAGCAGCGACGGCCGGCCCGAGCACCTGCGGCAGGGTCTGGCGCACGTCAAGGAGCCTGACCATCGATCTCTGCGGCAAAGAGCGGCGCACGTCACCCGGCCGACTACCGATCTCTGCGGCAAGGAGGGCGCACGTCACCGGCCGACCACCCGATACTGAGGTGAGCGCTTGACCGGACCCCATCCATTCCCCGCTGCACCAGGGGGGGGGGGGTACACGCCTCGAGCAGGCGCCGGCGGCCGCCGCATGTGAACGGCAGACGCCGCCGGTGCGCCACCATGGTGGTGTGGTCACAGTGCGACCACGACATGATAAGAAATGACAATCAGGAAGAGCCCTGCTTTCAGTCTGGTTTGGTTGGAGCTCTTTCCGCTTCCTCTTTCCGCCGTAACCAGTTCAGAGCCAGGCGATGAAGGGAAAGGTAATTGATGGCGTAATATTTCCGCCATCGGAAGATCTCCGCTGACAGCCCCCCCCCCCCCCCCCGTTCGAATCCCGCCCCCCCTCCCCCCCCCATATTCGGGATATACGCGGGTGCTCCGGCGGGACTTCTACCAGGGCAGCCGTGAGGTCGGCTCACGGCTCACAGCAGCAGCATGCTTCCGGTAGGGCGGTATGGTGCAAAGATTCAGAATAAGAGGCGAAGGAGGAACACGGCACGGATAGAGCCCTGTGATTGACGGACTGCTCGCATGCTTGCCGTTTAGTTTCTCGTCTAAAATTAAAACGAAGTTTTGGCTGGTCCCATCAAGTTTGCACATTGCAGGTCACTTCTTCGAATTGAGGGATGTCAAATATAGCATGCACGCTGACTAAAAGACCTTGATAACTGACACCTTTTACCGGCTGACCTACTCCGACCATTCAAACTGTCGTGCATCGCTCGAGAGCCAGCCACCACCTAGCGGCCGAACGGTAAAACATCATTATAAAGGCTTCGCGCCAGGTCGCCAAAAACAACCGTTCCCACGAGCAATCGTGGAGGACGATGTTGACATGTAGAATGTAACGAGATAGTGCATTGAACACAACACAAGTGCACTCCCTGAGCGTAGCCGAATGTCGGCAGCATCACGTGACACTCCGTAGTGTGTTCTGCTGTCCCGTTCGGAATTACTATGAGACAACGCCGGGCGACAGCAGGACGCAAACAGCCTAAACATACAAACGTCACGGAGCACACCAAGCCTTGAGCGTGCGTGGCCCAGTGTCCCGCGCAGGCGTGGCTTAGTGTCCTGAGCGGGCGCGGCATCGTGTCCAGAGCGGGCGTGGCCTAGTGCCCGGGGCGTGAGTGGCCTAGTGTTCTGAGCGGGCGTGGCCTTGTGTCCTGCGCGGGTGTGGCCTGATGTTCTGCGCAGGCGTGGCCTAGTGTCCTCAGCGGGCGAGGCGTAGTGTCCTCAGCGGAAGTAGTCTAGTGTCCTGGGCATGCGTGGCCTTGTGTCCTAAGCGGGCGCAGCCTGACGTCCTGAGCGTGCGCGGCCTCGTGTCGTGAGCAAGCGTGGCCTAATGTCCTGAGCGGGCGTGGCTGTGTCTGCCGAGAGTTTGACGTCCGCTCAGAGCAGGTGCTCGCGAGCCCCCGCAGCTCCTCAGTCCTCCGGGCCGTGGGCGAGGGGCGGGGAAGCAGGCGCTGCGTCACGGCTAGAGAGACCTCCGGCTGCGGCGGCGGCTCCGTCGCCGACTCATATATCGCGCGCGGCCTTGCGTGTCCGCCCGGCCGGCTCGAGTGTCGCGGCTACGTCCGCCGTATCACGGCCGATGTATTACTGTTGCGACCGGTGTATCACTGTCACGGCAGGTGTATCCCTGTTACGGTCGATGTATCAC